TACAACCACAAATTCCTGGTTGATTTAAAAAAAAAAAAAAAAATGTGTCATACCACTTCAATCATTTCAGTGGTCCATTGCTGCTCTGTGTTGCATGACTGTATATTCCAGTATGAATATTGACTGGAACCATGCCGGGCATGGCTCAGGAGTATCCATCCTCCCCTTCATGATCAGTGATGAGCCTCCTTGTGACCTACAGTATATTAATATGCTCAGCAGAAAGAAGACTCTTGGCACAGGACACGCCAGCAGCAACTCTTTAATGTTAGCAACTGTCAAAGCTTTGATTTCTGATTGATGAGTAAGGTCGGTGCAATAACAGAACGACACTACTGGTCATCTTGCCCCCGCTTTCCACAACAGGAAACATATCCTTTTACACTACAGCACAGCTCTGCCCCTCAGACTGCAACAGCTACCACATCATCCATTTGAAACTGCATATCTATAAAATACATGTCTAATGGCCACAAATGAACAGAATAAACAGCATAGATCTAACATGAGCAGGTTTAGATGCCAACTATTATCTATTTGTATCCACCAGCCAGGATAATGGGAGCTGAGGACTTCCAATTAAACTGAAACTGCAGCCACCAATATGACCATAAAGTTGCTTTGCTAACACTTTAAGTCCCCTATTAACATTCATAAGCAGTATATAAACCTTAATGAATTACATTAAAAAAAACAATAATGTATTCATAATCAAATATAAGTGTTTAATAATGTAACTATTGACAACAATAACTCTTTCTATGGCTGATGTATTAACAGTTAATGTCTTCATAGGAGTTATAGGCTAATTTTTGACAAATACTGCTGATCAAAAAAATGTTTTAAATGTCCTTATATCTGCTTACAGCGGTACTTTAGTGCGTATCAAATGTTTATATACTATTTATAAAAGCAAAGTAGGAGGACTTAAAATAAAGTGTTACTGTAGAGTTGGTTGACTGCATTGGTTTTAACTAAATGTATCTCATAAACTGGCAACTGAGTGGTATGTGCTCATCCTTACAGGTGCAGTTTTGTGATCAGTTCACTATTTTTTGACCCTCTGACCTCTGCAGTACGGTGTTACACCACAACCACAGGGAGAGTCACACTCACAGTAAGTAGAAATCCACTCAGCGGCACTTTATTAGGTACACCTGTACAATCTAATGCAAAGCAATACAGCTGTTGTGCCATTAGGTCTACTTTTGTGGTGCGTATAACATTCAGTTCTTTTTCAGTTTTTTTGATTCTGTCATAGAGGTGTTAATTCAATTACATGTGCTAAAACATGTAATTGAATTAACACCTCACCACATTGAGCTAATAGCTAGTGATAGTATTGTGATGGACTACAAATTGTTTCCAATACTGCTCGTCTCATTTGTGTAATTAGGACGGACAAAAAATCAGAATCACCTGTTATCCAGTACAAACTTTGTAAAGGTAGAATTTATGGCAGAGCTGTTGTATAGACTGTGCAGGTGTACTTATAAGTGGCCACTGAATATAAATAAAGTCATTTAACCCCCCTTGCAAATAAAATTTAAAAAATTTCGAAAAATGAAGAAAGAAACTGACGAATAGTTAAAATGTATTATTATTTTCCCCTTTTTCTAATAAATGAGGACAAGCTGACTTGGAGAAAAGGTTTTAACTCAACTGCAGCTAATTGCTCCTTTCATCTAGCCAATTAAAAGCAGAATTTTAATCCAAGTAGTATTTCTTGTTTTGATAGCTCGTCACGTGCCACAGCCTTTTAATCAGCACAAAAATGTAAGTATTGCATATTAATTCAGCACTGAGGGATGCGCCATTATTTACACTCCTGATTTTCATCACTCTCTCCCTGCGCAGGACTCCTCCAGGGCCAATCCCACAATGACTGGGCCTAATTGACAACCACACTAAAGGATGCGGTGGCAAATGCTAGCTGCTACCTGCTAACATTTTCAATCCATACCCACTCAGGTGTGTATGTGTGAGGGAGTGCGAGAAGGTTGTTAAAATGGTGCGGAGGATCAATAGGATGTTGTTGTTAGTGAGAGACCTTTCATGGGAAACATCAGTAAGGTGGCATCACAAGTTGTCATGTGTGATGTTTGTGAAATGTATCTTGAATGTCTCTACCTTCAGCAGCCTGTATAAACAGTCAGCAGCGACAGCTCAGCTCCCCTGCATTTTCTGTGATGAAACAGCTCGGTTGCATGAGGTAATCTCACCCTTACCCAAATGAGATGGTAATGCCTTCACTCAGGGAATTCAGCAACACACAGCAGCACCTAGAAGGAGGCTGTGCACCTCAAATGGGACTAATAATAGAGCCTCCGTTCTCTTAACTTGGAATCTATATTATACGCTTCAAAAATGAGATCAACTATATGGGTCAGTGGGATTTCTGTGAGAAAAAAAAAAAATAGAAAGGAGCAACCAAAAGCGAATATACTCTGCTGACAACAGATCTAAGGAAGGCAGTAGCTAATAAGAAAATTATTTGGGCAGAGTAACAGCTCAGAACTTTAATTAACAGAGCTGGTTTTAACTGATTGAAAGGGAATACATGTCCACACTTGTCTGCATGCTAGCCTAATTATTTTCAACTCCTTGATTGTCTAAATAGGCTTTATAAATAAAAGCACAAGTGACTTGAAATGTTCAAAGGAAAATTATTTTAGAAATGGAAATGATCAAAGAGCAGTCTTTCATAACTTCTGTGATCTGTGAGCTAGAATACATGGGGACTTCAGTCCTTCATGCTGCTGCTGCGGCCTAGGTTTCATTTTAACTTTAGACACACACACACACAGACACACAGACACACACACACACACACACACACACACACACACACACACACACACACACACAAACTACTCCACCCCCAACATATGGCTTTCTCAGGGGACAATAAAAGACATTTATTAGCCTCCATCTTCGTTCAGGCTGCCCACATGTTAAACTGAACTAAACCAGCATCAGTGATATGGTATGATATGATATATGATATGATATGATATGATATGATATGATATGATATGATATATATGATATATGATATATGATATGATATGATATGATATGATATGATATGATATGATATGATATGATATGATATGATATGATATGATATGATATGATATGATCCATCTCAGGCATCCTGGGTGGAGGATTTACAAGATGCAACAACAGTAAAGCCTGTTTTTATTATGGAGACGAATAATAAAATGTGTTTGGATAATTATGTCAGTGACTCCACGTTGCCTCTGGCATCTTGTTCACGTGTGTGTATTACCAACAGCCCATGCTGACTCCTGATCCGTGTACTGTGCTCTTTATGTAATTGGCTGGTGTGTTGATAAAAGCAACTAAATGTAAAACAGTAAAACAAAAATGCAGAAAAAAAGCACAGTTCTGTACTTACAGTGCAGCTGCGTGGTGATAGGCTGGTCTTTTTTTCTCTCAGACTCCTTGGCATTATTCATGGCCCCTCAGATATGGAATATTCTGAATTAAGTTAATATACAGAGCATAGTTAATTATGCATTTCATAAAAGTAATAATAATAACACTAGTCAAATACAATACATGCATAGTTTGTAATGATTCATTTATAGTTGGGCTCATTATGCTAATGTTCCTAAAAGTTTCAAATATTGTACAGTTTCAAACAAAAACGTCACTATTTCTGCAGTAAACTAACAACACGACTGTTTTCAGAAATCAGATTTCATTTTGGGGTTTGACCTGATATCTGTCGAAGCAGCGTGAGGATTTTGTATTTGTTATACTGAAGGCTTTGCATTTCCAAGGGAATATGTTCTGTTTTGTTCAAGATTAATATTTCTGAGACACACCCCAGTTACACTGATGCATTGCTTAATTCGGTCAATTACATAACTGAAGGAATTCTATGACTTTCGCAGCAGCAACCATACAGACAATGCAGCAGATACTGGAGTGGAACTGAGGACAAGTGCTAACTACCTCAGCCACATTCCACTTTAATAATGGACTTGAAACTATATGAAACACTCTGCTGTGGCATAGGAGGTGGATTTTTGATCCCTTGCTTCTTCCAAATACCAGAACACAGGATTATTCCCTGTGGACTGAAATAGATGCAGTCACTTCTGTCTCGTTCTGTTTGAAAGTCATTGGTTGAAAGATGCAAACTTCACAGGTTTAAGTCTGCAGTGATATGATACTGGTCCTGGGACAAAATCGCTGTAGCAAGTGCTCTCCCACACAGACACCTACACAGACACAGACACACACATTGTACATCCCATTAACATATCATAGTATACTTCCAACAGAAGGTTAGGCTGCCTTATTGATCATCAAAAAGATGAAGGGACAGTCCATCACTTTCCCTTTGCCACTCTTAAATCCGTTACCTGGGCTCCTCAAAGCACCACTAGCGGCTAATTACTCTCTCTCATGCCCCTTGTGCTCTCTCTAGTCTGTTGCTAATGATAAACTATTTCCATCGATAGGTCCTTAACTTCAGAGAGACCTAAATGACACTTTGGTCTGTTTGGATTATTTTATTGATGACTGTAAATAAATCAAGCAAGAGTAGGTTACCTTGCATTTCTTCCTGTTGCCTCGGTGCCACTAGAGTGCCTCTATCTGTCTCATGCACGTTAGGGTCAGCACCACACCAAATCACATTTGTCCCCTCCGTTAATGTCACAGCCTTAAAGCAACATATCATCACAGTGCGGAGCTTGGTCTAACTGTAATTGAAAAGGCCCAAGGGGAATTCCTGGGTTGTGTGTGGGGCCCCCTAACCCTCGCCACCCTACATCCATCATTGTAGAGTTAGGCCCTAGGGTGTTCTTGTAACGCTGAAGGTTAACAGCGAGATCGCCACTTACAGCTTTCGAAAATGTGGCCCCATGGGCCCCCAGTACTGCTACGAGCACTAGACATCGGCGGAAAACTACATACCAGCATCATGTCAAGTACATATTAATTTGATGGTCACATACCAAGGAGGGCAAGCTTGAGTGAGTCAGCGCATCCATGTTCAGTGAATGGATGGACTTCAATAGGGATGTGATCAGAAACAGAATCCTTCCTTCAGATGTTGAGTTCACAGGCTTGATTACACAGCCGCCTTGCAATGCATACTGCAACAGATAAAATTAAACACTCGTGATTACACACTGCTTTGAAACATCCTGGACCGTGATCAATCTGATCCCTTTTTTAAGTTCAACCTCAAACGACAGAGATTTGAGAACATACAAAAAGTATTCAAAAGCTGTATCTCACAACAGAACTGAATTGTTGCTAATGAAATGTGATAGTTTTGAGAGACAGCAAAGACAACAGGCACTTAGGGTCTCTTTGCACTGTTTTTGTAAAATCTAAGGCATTACGCTCTTTAGGCCTCATGATCAAAGCCTTTGTAATATTTTCTAACAAACGCTTCAAATGCATTCTGTAAAATGTGAATCATTAAGCAGAGGCTCTGAAACCTAACTGATCATTTTCTCAAAAATTACATACTGTAGAACTGTTAAGAAGCACAGCTGAAGATAAAGGCATCAACTCCTGCTCCAATGTGCAGATTTAAGCATATTCATCTGACTCTTCACATACATGAAAGCTAGCAGCTGCCCTTGCCAGCAAGTGGAGGACATTAAGGCTCAGCCTGGTTGATCTCTGATGACAAGGGTCTGGAGGAGCGATTAGAAGCAAGGGGACCAAAGTTATGGTCATTCCCTTAAAAGGATGGCATTGCATCTCATAGGCCTGGAGCTTGCAGGAGCTGAAAGATCTTCAAAGGTCCGCTCACCCCATACAACCTAGTCTAACTCCCCAAAAAAACCTTGGAAGTATGAATTTTGAAAAAAATTTTTTTCAAATATTATTTATTTTCCTTGTGCATTGCGACAGACCACGACAAATACTGCAGGCCATATCTGAAAAACTTTTGCTTTTGGTTTGTTGTTTATTCTGTGCATGATATTATCATTGTCAGTCATCTGGTAACCTCCTGAGTTTACCAGCTCATAGGAGACCATTAAAGTCTCCATGATTTCTCAGAAACTGGCTCATCGGAAACTGTCAAAAATATCTGTTATGTAAGGCATGGATAATAAATGAAAAAAAGGAAAAAAGATATCTTTTTAAGAACCATCCACAGGGGCAAATTGCAATTCATCAAAAGACAAATATGCATCAGATATGAGGATAGGCGGGGCCTTTCTCTCTATCCTGCTGCATATCGGCTGTTCAGCGTTATTCAGTTTTTGGCGAAATCTGCCAACAATAGCTGGAGAGCTGAGTGTTCCAGGGGCTTGGGCTTAAGTTGACAGTGGAGCGACCGTTGGGAAGAGTGAATAGGAGCCTGGTTTAATAAGCCCTGGTACACGCTGGACTACACAGGGGGCTGGCACCACTGAAATCAAAAAACTGCAGTGCAGATGAAGATAAGGAAAAATCTAAAGGATCAGTCTGGTCATATCATAAGAACACAGCACTGGGACTCTACATTCCTATTCACCATTTTATGGTTTGTAAACACGTGCATATAATTATAATGATTGCATTGTCTTACATAAGAGCCTGCTTCTGCCTGGTGTGTTTTAAAGGCTTATTAATTGTCAAGCTGTCAAATTAACACAAGCTTAGAAATTAAACAATTACATTACTAATGTTCACTGAGAAGAACAAGTGACATGAGGTACATACTCATTTCACTCCACGGTTTCATCTTATTGACAGGTGCATTATATATTGTTCAGTCTTTTACGTTCAAATCAATCTCTCTTCATTGTTACAATTGCCCTCATTGTGCATTGTTAGCATCATTGATGCCTGGATGCCAACCCCCGCAGTAGCTACCATTCTCCAGCTGGAAAGCAAATGTAAAATAAATAAATAAATAAATAAAGCAGCAGTGTGGCTACAGCCAGTTTACCATGTGGGGTTGCAATTTTCCATGGAAAGAGGGGAAGTGTACAGAAAAAGCAGATATATGAGTCAAGTTTCATGCATGTCTGGAGGAGAATCTGGCAGAGGACACCTACTTACCATGGAACTACACTGGCAGAGATTAGGGGGCCATCATGAAGGAGCCATAGAGGGTGAAGATAGCCAGGAGCTGCAGGGATAGAGATAGATGAGACAGAGGAACAAGAGGACCTGGTATAAAAAAAAGAGGGTGGGGTTGGGCAGAGAAGGGTGGATAAAAAGAAAGCAAGTTGGGGAGCAACAACACCACTGGCTTGACCTGGGGAGGATGGGGAAAAAGCCAGAGATCCAATTAAAATCACACTTTGTCAGTCAGAGTCTACGCTGACACAGCCTCTCCAGCCTCTCCAGCTGGAGCCCAGTGCTGCTAAACCTTACTTGGAAAAATATGGGAGCTGCACAGTGTAAGTTACGCAAGATGTCATACATGGTTATGATGATGCATAAAACGAAAGACCTGGTGTGACAAAGCAGCCCACCCCCTGGTACGCAGCTGGAGCTCAACCCAAGTATGGCATAACATCGACCCGGGGGGGGTGGGGTGGGGGTGGTGGTGGGGGGGCTAGATGGCAATTCAATGGATCCCAAGGTGAAATGGATTTATTTACATTAAAATTTATGTATACTCTGTATACCCTGTCCAAAATGGTGCCTGCGCTTGTTGCTAGGCAGAGTGCAAGAGGAAAGATGGCGGCGGACAAGTGGCAAACTGGGAAGCGGAGGTCTAATCAGTTGTGATTACTGGGGGGAAGGGTGTGGCAGGGTTCAATGATTATGGAATATTACCACGGCTTGGTCAGAATACACAACGACAAGGCTACATACTGTAGTCAGTCTGGGCTGTTACCCTTTGGCTTTATACATGTCCTTACACAACAACTGCGAAACCAGTTTTCTATATATAAACACAAATGCTTCTTTGAGCACAAAATAATGTTTGATCACCTCCACTGTGTTTTAGACATTTACTATTTTTAGAAATGAGGAGAAAAGGGCAGAATGTGGCAGTGCATACAATAGTTGGGGTTTAGATGAAATTGAGATGAGCTCTGAGAAAAGAAATACAGAATATCTTGAGACTTATTTCAAAACATTGATACTACAGTAAAACCAAAAGCATTTCATGTGAGCTATTGATAAGGTTATGAACACAAGAGAAAATTATCTCACGAATTTCAGTCATCACATCATTAAAGTACACTGATCAAAGCCAACCCAGTTCACCTCAATTTACTTGAAGAAAGAAACACTTCACAATTGAAACATTTGACATCCACCACTTGAAATGATCTATCTTAGACCATATCATAGCTGCTACTCACCACAAAATGTTCAATTTCGTGAGAATTATTTCATAAAATGAAATGAATGATTCTAAATCCTGAGTAGAAGGCAGCAGTATTTTTATCAGGTGCACATTCACTACTCGTTAGCCATAAATAGATAAATAAAAAAATGTAACTCTCTTACACAGTTCGAACTGACTGTTATCAAAACTGAAATCCGTATTCTCAAACTTTTAAATGATTGACAGAAAGGCGTCTAATGGAAAGATAAAAATGAAAATTTACTGCTGTCAAATTTGAGAGGGATTTGCAAAATACATCATCCAAAATATCTGACTCTCCCTAAAGATGTATCCCCATGAGCATCATGTGCAACATATACTTTTAACCAGGTCAGAGAGTGCATAAACAAGTTTATTACAGTGTTGCACCATCTTGAGAACAATTACACTTGAAGCACATAAAATGTAGTTGCTTACTTTGAATGTTTCACATAGAAATATGACTGAGAATTAAAACAGTTTTTTTTAAAACAAGTCTTTTTGCATTGTTCTTTAATATATATAAATGTCTAATAATATAAGTGGCTTGGTAGGCTTATCCCACTTGTATTTTGTCTTATAAAAAACATCCAAATAACAGCACCACAACCAAAGCCTGCTGAACTTTTAAAGGACCTAAGGTGTATTAATATAGTTTATACTGAAAGGAAAACATTTTCTTATACAGACTTGAAGCATTCCCTCATGTACTTTTGTGGCCATCCAGACAACTGCCCCTCCATCAAACCCTCTAGAATAAAGAACCTCCTTATTACGGCTAGTCAGCTGTCAGATCAGTGTAAGCATATATTTCAAAGAAATGTAAAATTAGTGCCCTTTTGACCTGATTTCCTTTTGATATGGGTGAAGCAAATTGGCATATATAATGGCAGACATTATTCGTATGTTTAATGGTATAAAATGCTGACATCCATACATACAAGTACAAAGTATAAAGCTTTGCTAGAGGCAGTGGAGCATTCATCATAATTGTGACCCATCCGACCTCCACAATAATCAAGCTAATGCCGTATACTTTCCTGAGCAGGATGAGGACAGGTACTTAGTGTGCAACATCATCTTTAGCTATACACCATTAAATGCCCCATTAACTGTACTTCAACCTGTTCAGTCAGTCTCCCGTTTAATATTGTTAGAGAGGGGTGTCATTTTTGACGTAGGAGTGTAAACTAAAGCTGTATGACAATAATAACTCACTACAGATGAGTTCAGGCTCCGCACCAGGATTAGTAGTGAAACTGAATTCAAACTCTGCCGAGAAGGAGGCAGGCTTCGAAACCAAACTTCCTCAGTGCATTTCTCTAAAATAATGAGGTGCTTGTTGAAATTTACATTCCACAATACAAAAACCAAGCAAACATGAATATGTCAGCAAAGCTGGAACTTGGGGAAGTGAACCCCTCAAAAAGTGTGTGCACCCAAAAAGAAGCAAAACTCACATCACTTTTTTAAAGCTTTTTTACAACTTTTTCAACATTTATCACTGGACAGATTAAACAGGATGACACAGATCTGTCAACCCATCAATGTGTCAGTGAACAGTGAAATCCATCAAATCTATTGATTCAGACTCAAAGTGAGGAGCTCAGAATTAATCCTTTATAGGGTAAATAAAAATGTTCAGTTTGTATTACAAATAAAATAATGATAGGAGTAATAATGGACTGCTTAGCCTATTTGGACATTACAATGTTTTGAGGATAATTTGGTCAGATTTGTGTTTGCAGTTAGCTTGCATTCAAGGTAAGACCTTATAGTGTGTGTGTGTGTGTGTGTGAGTGAGTGCGTGAACGAGAGAGAGAAAGGAAGAGAGACAGAAAGACAAATATAAATCAAGTGAAAATACACAAATCAATAGGCTGTAAGATCAGAAAGGAAGCAAAAAGAAACACGGGGATGTGAGTCATTCAGAGAAAATGCGCATCACCTTGCGGCACATACACCTGTATATGCTTGTATTATACACCTGTATCCCAAAAAACACGCGCATTCATGGCGCAGTTAAGAAGGAAAATTAAAACCCGAGAGGACCATCACATTTTAGGACGTGAGGGAGTTTTAACTCAAACAAATCAATTTAAACACATTTTGTGTTAAAGGCCTGGTCAGTTCCTGAGGCCACACCTATAAACACAGGATAATACTGTGTGTTAGAACCCTACGTTTACAGGCGGTGCATTGGTTTGCGCAAAATTGCAAATCTGCAAATATGGCGTGGGCTAGTGGAATTTATACAATTAAAAAAAAAGGAAAAAGAAAAAAGTTTGAGCTCACGATGGAAATGCATTGATTGGGTTTAACCACACACGCCTGATCAAAGAGAATATAGACACTTTAATAAAATATAGAATACATAATTAATTATACAGTAGGCCTATGTACAGTAGAACTGTATGCTAATTAAACGTTTTTAACAGAATCACGAACACTGTGGTTTATGCTTCGCACTGGCCTTACTTTGTACAGAAATGTGAAATATAGATATAATATAAACAAGAATACGAATGTGTAATGGGGGGGTAGGGGTGGGGGGGGGGCTTAATCAAGGGGAGAAAAAAAACCTACTGAGCCTCGCAGTATTTTAATGACATACAAATCATGCTCCAGGCCCATCACAGGCTTATTAGGTCTCAGAATTTAATGTGAGGAAAGATGTTTCAGATATTTATTTCATCTTTAGACATACATAAAGACATGAATAATGTTTCTATACTTCCCGACATAGCCTACATTACACCTAGTTTACATTCAACAAAGACCCCTACACTGAGGGTTACATTCAGCAAGACTTTTCCTTTTACTTTCCAGTAATAACCTATAAGTTGAGAAGACTCAAGAGGCAGATTTCCATAAAATCCTTTGTCATTTTTTTGTCTCACTTAATATAGATATCTTTAATACTTATGCAACACAGCGAACAATTATGCATACACACTTGGTAAAAGTTCCTATAACCCACTGTGGGGAGATGTAGCTACAGGCTACAAGCCTAACCCAACCAAACAAACAGGCCTCACAACAACAAATAAAGCTCGTCACATTTCGCAATGCAAGATTTCAATAGGATGACTCAGGACGTGTCACAAAATATTTGATACAACATTCACAAAAATACAGAGAGTAATAGAGATACAGCTGTAACTTTTAGGTTATAACATGGAAAAATAGGCCCAAAAAAATTGTAAGCCGCTCACGTGTCCCAACAGGAACTCAGAGGGACGGGATGTTATTACATTGCTTTGGTGGGAAAGAGTCCACGCCGCTGTGGCATGTGTACCATCCATTCACAATACTTTTCTGAAAGGGAGAAGTGGAGGGGAAAGTCCTTGAGCTCTGGGCAAACGTGTGACCTGTCTGGCCGCAGGGGTACTGTGACGACTGGGATCTGTAGCTGCCTCTCTGTAGCAACAAAGGGTCCAAGAGGGGCTGTGACCTGTGTGTGGAGTAGTCCAAACTGCTGTCAAACGTGTGATGGAAACGTGACCTCGAGGTCGACTGGTCTCGACTCTCTGGGGACAGGGGGACATCTTGAGCTGAGGTTGGGGGGTGAGAGGGGCTGATCTGGGTTCCATCCGGGACTCGGGTCGACCTGGCGTCAGCAATGTGACCCCCGTCACCAGGTCGCGCGTCGCCGCTTTTGGCTACGTGGGCCTTGTTGCAGTGGAGCTTCATATGCTTTCGCAAGGAGCTTGGGTGGGTGTAACACTTGTCGCAGCCCCTGACCTTGCACATGTAGGGTTTATCACTGGAGTGCACGTGAGAGTGCTTCTTTCTGTCGCTGC